TGCTGGTGAATGAAAAGCTGGACATGATGTGGCAATTGGCACTTGCAGACCAGAAAGCCAACCCCATCCTGGGCTGCATCCACAGCAGTGTGGGCAGCAGCTCGAGAGATGTGACTCTCTCTCTACTCTGCTCTGGAAAGACCTCACCTGGAGTGCTGCATCCAGCTTTGGGGTCACCAGCATGGGAAGAACATTGACCTGTTGGAGCGGGTCCAAAGGAGGTCACAAAGATGATCAGAGAGATAGAGCACCTCTCCTACAGGAAAGGCTGAGAGAGTTGTGGTTATTCAGGCTAGAAAAAAGAAGGCTCCAGGGAGACCTAATTGCAGCCTTCCAGTAACTGAAGGGAGCCTACAAGACAGCTGGAGCGGGACTTCACACAAGTGATGTAGTCATAGGATGAGGGGGAATGGATTCAAAATGAGAGAGAGCAGCTCAGATTAGATATTAGGAAGATATTGTTTCCTGTGAGGGTGGTGAGGCACTGGCACAGGTTGCCCAGAGAAACTGCGGATGTCCCATCCCTGGAAGTGTTCAGGCCAGGCTGAATGGGGCTTTGAGCTTTGGAAGGTGTCCCTGCCCACTACAAGTGGGCTGGAAATAAATGACCTTTAAGGTCCCTTCCAACCCAAACCATTCCATAATTCTATTATGAAACTCCTATATTGAAAACTTCTGAAGCAGTAGTTCTCAACTGTATTAATGAGTTTCTGGAAGACATGAGAGCAAGTGTCCTCAGACTTTACCAGTTTAAACATGCCTTCCCCATTTCAGCTTGTGTTTCTCCCTTATTTGTACAAATCAGACTGGTCACCTTTCCTGCAAAGCAGTGTTAATTGTTTTTGTCCTGTTACTTGATCTGCTTTTCTGCTCAGTAATGTACTTCTCCAGTTGTGAATCAGTTTCTAACTTACCCTAGCTTAGCACTAGCTGCTTATATATTTAGCTTCAGTTGTGTAGCTCTACTACCCCTTTTTGCTTTATTCTTTTCAGATCCCCAAGTACTTACAACCTGTTGCAATTGTACTTCTTTCACACCATGCTTCCCCTCCTTCAACTGCAATTGTCTCATGCTGCAGATCAGAAATTCAATTTCACCCAACCTTAAGCGAACAAGCTAAACTGCAGAAAACTCCAGCCTGTTTTGCCTAGCACCACAATGAAGTTTCTCTCAACTCCAAATACGTAATTGTTTCTTTACTATACATATGAACACCTAAAGGAGTCTGTGCATTTACCCAGTTCATCCCAGAGCTGCCTATACTTGTCAGTCATTGCAGTTCCTTGTTGTCTCCAAAGCGACAGACGAGGGTCAGCCATGAACTGTTCTGTTATCAACGTCAACATGCGAGCTCCATTTGAATCTCTCATTTTTAGCATCTCTCGCACCTAGGAAACGAGTCTTTTAATACAAACTTGAAAAAAAAAAAGCAAAGAAATCGCAGTACAGACAATATGCTGCAATGTTAAATATTCCACCTCTGTATCACAAGAAAAGCAATTTATATGTGCGACGTGAAATTTTTAAGTAGGAAAAAATTTGTCTGCCTTCCCAATTTTAACATAATTTGGGTTTCAATATCCAATTTCAATTCTTTGGAGACAATTTTTCCACAAGTAATCCACAGGTGTATTATGCAAATTGCTGCAAGACTGATTTCTACAGGTTTTTCCAACATTGTGGGGGTGGGAAGGAAAAGAACAGCAGAGCTGTAGATGGCTGAAATGTCACTGCATATCCTTACACTGATCAAGACACATCAGGTTGCAGTCCACTGCTGTACAACTCATTATTAAGTTGCCACTGAGTTCCAAAGGCTTTGCCTTGTTTTAGAACAGGACTTTGAGTAAGATGCAAACAAGTACAGACCGGCTTGGGGA